ATGTGGATACAGTTCCCGAAGACTTTCAAATGGAAGTGATTGACATGCAGAATAATACCGATTTAAAAAATGTATTTTTCTCAGTAAACATCGAAAATTTTTATAAATCTTATGTGAGCCCTGAGAAATTTCCGCTTTTGACGAAAAATGCAAAGCAAATGATGTCTCTGTTCGGAAGTACGTATGTTTGCGAACAATTATTTTCAACCATGAAATTAATCAAAAATGACCACCGATCAAGACTGAGTGATGCACGATTAGAAAGCTGCGTACGTGTAGCTACCTCATCAATTCCAGCTGATATTGATCAGCTTGTATCGAAAAAACAGTGCCAAATTTCTCATTAAAAATTTCAAGTAAATTCATTTTTCTGTTCTTTTCTTGTTTGTTTTTATTTTGCATTAAAATTTGTATATAAAATCTTTACTTTTTTTAAATTTTATATTTTTTTATTCTAATGTTTATTATAAATAAAGTTTTGTAAATTATTAATAAGTGTTTATGTGCGGCCCGCCAAAAAATTTTAAAATTTAAATTGGCCCGTTGATTAAAAAGGTTGCTCATCCCTGGTTTAAATGAAACTAGAAATAAATTTATAATCTAATTAGATTATTTAGCTTATTCTCAAATTTTTTAATGAACAAATTTTAATCACAAACATTTCATAAAATTAATCCAAATATTGACATACTACCTAATTGAAATAAAGATGGAAAATATATGCTAATGATTTTGGCTAGTTGGTTCTGTTTGGACTTTTTTTCTGGATGCTCAAAGATTGGCTAAAATGTTATGTTAGCATATCTAATCATCTGTAGTTCTATTAGTTTCATTAAGTAGTTTGTCCATATTGATATAGTTTCAAAATTACAGGTAAAATTTTAATACAAAAGGAATTTGTACTAAAATTTATCTATCTAATCATATTTTGTTTTCATTTAGTGTTAAATAATTTTCTTTGTTTATTTTTAGGCATTTGATCTTAAAGAACAACGTTATGTTGCTTGTAAAATTCATCAACTTAATAAAGATTGGAAAGATGATAAAAAAGCCAATTATATAAAGTAAGTAAAGTATTCCTGATAATTAAAGACCAAAAATTATTATTACAAAGATAAAATTTTCTTTTTAAGCAGTTTTTATCTTTGATATAATGAATTGTTTTTTGAGAAAAATAATTTATTTTAGCTGTCTTTAGAATAATATTGATTTTTAGTTTAAGATGAACATTATCACCATTATTATTTTTAGAGATTTACATTTGGAGTTTATTCTGTATTGTTTATATTTTGCATTGACATTACCGAATAATCAATTTTCTACTTTGAAATATCTTAATTTGATTTACTTTGCTTTATTATTATAAATTTTCTTTATTTTATACCATAGCTATACCATAAATTCCAGATGATTGATTTAGTTGTATTTAATAAATATATTGGACAAAATAACTAAAGAAAAACTTATCTGTTTAAGAATTTTATGATATTTGCCTTAGTGGTATAATAAATGCAATTTAGAAAACCGTTTTGTTTGTTGCAAAAACTTGTTTCTAGATAACTTGATATTATTCTGCCCTGTTTCCCCGAAAATAAGACAGTGTCTTATATTAATTTTTGCTCTCAAAGATGCGCTAGGTCTTATTTTTAGGGGATGTCTTATTTTTCCATGAAGAAGAATTCACATTTATTGTTGAACAAAAAAATTCCCAAGTCTAACTTAAACGAGAGGGACGTATATTCAGTCGTGTCGAACTGAACTTAAATAAAACCGAAGTGAACTTACGAAGTTTCCGTGCTGGAGTGGACTTTCCACTCTCGCTTCAACTTAACCTTTTCATAGTGTTGACATTATGCTCAATAACCAATTAGTGCTTACTGAACCGTAGCACTATGCAAATGTGATGTGGCATGATTCCTAGCCAACCAATTAGTGATCACCAGCCGTAACGTTATACAAATCTGTGATTCCCAAGCCATAGTCTTATGCAAATCATGCCGTGTGGCATGATTGTCTGCTGACCAATCAGTGGCTGTACTTTCAAAAAGCCAACGGCCACTTTCAACCATCTGTCGATGACCGTTACAACTAAAAGAAAACTTTGCTAGTTCTTACTTTCGGGGGGAAGTCTTATATTTTGCAATTCAGCAAAACCTCTGCTAGGTCTTATTTTCAGATGATGTCTTATTTTTGGGGAAACACGGTAGTCACTGAGTTTTTAACAACCCTATCAAATTATATTGAAGAATCAGATTATCATGTTTATATTTACATTCATTCTGATCAGAAACATACTCAAACTTTTTTTATATATGGTCTCTCTTAAATATTTTTTACTTGTATTTTCACAAGTTTTTATTACTTTTCATAGTAACATTACTCTTGTATATAATCATTTTTGTATGTGATAAATGAAATTTTGGCATCTTTTACATATCCGATTACATTTGGAATCAGTTTTTGCATAGGCTACATATATCATGTTTTTGCATGGTGCTGTCTATAAACTTTTGAGATATTTCTTTTTGGTTTTTTGCATTGATATTTTGTTTTTCAATTGACTTTTTACAAATATGGAAAATATATGAGAAATTTTATAGGTTTTTATGTTATACCATAATTGTTTCATGATTATTATACTACTATAAATGTAAATCTTTATTCTCCAAAGTCAAAGAAACTTTATAGCTCTGTATAAAATTAATTCCTTACCAGGTTACTATACGAATTTCCCGTATATATTTACTTTATATTTACTGGTTATATAATAGCATTAGTTAAAGAAAAATTATATGTAAACTATAGAGAGGTTTGGCACAAAATAGAGGTCTATTATTTTTTTTTAATGCTTTGATAAGTCCATTGATAGTCACAAAAAATTTATTGCATCTAAAATATTTAAGGAATATAATATGAGATATTAGAGAGGTTGNTTGTTTTTACATAAAATTTACTACTATTATGCAATAAGTAATTTGTTTTCTGTTAGGGGATTAAATTAATATATATAATTTGTTCTTAATGAAATGAAATATATAAACTTACAAATATTGAATGTTGATATAAATGTTTTTGAATCATCTTTACTTTTTCAAATGATTTTTTGTTCTGTTCTAATTACGGTGGAACCTCTATATTCGTAATATTCTATATTTGTCACATTTTGATGACTTCCCCCCATAACTCAAACAATATTAATGGAAACAATATGATTTGAATTTTTTTATTAAAATGTTTAGCTATAAATTTGAATTTTAAACTATGTCAGCTAGTTGTAGTTAATCAGTCTGCTTTGTGCGGCCGTGGTGTGTGTTCTTGGTTTCTCATGTTGATTATTTTCAAAAACTCGTGTTCCAATGGCTCCAACAAAGCACACTGCAGAGAAACAGCAAAAAAGGAAAGCTGTTAGAACAACAATAGAGATATAACTGAAGATGAACGCTCAATGCGTTTGAAAACGTTTTTATGTTATTAAAGAATTTTGCTGGATAGTTAAATGGTTTTTTATTTTTAAGTTGAATTCTCCAGTAAGCAAGTATACAATTATTTATCACAACAATAGAGATAAAAAAAAAATTATTTCTAAATCTGAAAATGGACAAAGTAGAGCGGTTGTGGCTGAAGTTTTCATCTCTAAAATGTGTATGTTGAGCTCCGCCATCTTGAAAGTCTAGAAGTTTGACAGTGGCGTTCGGAATGTCATTGGAATAATGTCATTCTAAAAGCCATTATCAGATTTCTAGGCTTACAAGATGGCAGCACTCAATGTTCACGTTTTAGAGATGAAAACTTTGGCTGCAATCTCTCTAGCGTTTCCAACTTAGCCAAAGAATTTAATTAACCCCTTAAGGACATTGACATTTTTTATATTAATTTAATTAAACGTAAAAACTACTTGAAAAAAACGAATGAAATGCGTTAATTTTGAAGAAAAAGCTTCAAATTTTATTTTCCTTTGTCTCGCCTTTCTGTGAAATTTGACACTGATGAGTCATTGTTTACACAGCTGGNAAAAACTACTTGAAAAAAACGAAAGAAATGCGTTAATTTTGAAGAAAAAGCTTCAAATTTTATTTTCCTTTGTCTCGCCTTTCTGTGAAATTTGACACTGATGAGTCATTGTTTACACAGCTGGATGACCTTGAGAACAGCTGGAGTCGGATTTCTCGGAACATTCTCAGAAGTCTCTGGAGGCAATGGGTTTATAGTAGGGTGAATACTAGCTGGCCGTATATTTTTAAATATTTTTAAAAAATTCAAATTTTAATTGTGATTTTCGACCCTCCCGACTTAATTAAACTTATATATAATAAAATCTATTGATTAAAATCTTAAACAAACTATTGGAGGTTGTTTTTGACATCAGAGACTAGCTTTAAATAACTTTACCGAAGTCAAATCTGTGCACTACAACTTTAGAACGATTAATTAATTTTGATAAAAAATCGCATTAAAAAACAATTAAGTGTTAATCGCGCGTCATTAAAGGTTGATTAAAATCGCGATAAAA